AAGCTGCGATCAAGTTGGAAAAGAAGAATGATAAAATACCTAACATATAAGACCGATGAAAATTTAATGAAAATTTAATATATTTTTCAGTATTTCCAATAAAAGCGAGTAATGTGGATTTATTTATATTTCCAAAAAAAATAATCTGTTTCAATAACAATTTGTAGTGGATTATATACAATCTTTAATAAGTAAATTCTGTGAAGAATAATTGAATTATATCGAATAAAGTATCAAAATAAAAGTAGATTCATATTTCTTTTATTGATATATCTAAAATATTAATTTATTAGCTTGCTGGTTTTTTTACTAAAATTGAAAAAAATTATAAGTTTTCATGAATCTCACGCTGGATGAGTATATTTATTTATTGTACTGTATATTATTCTTTTGAAACAAGATCATGAAACCCATGCTGATTTATGCTAAAGTAAAGCATGTAATTAATAAAATATATCTTTATATAAAATAGAAAAATAAAATAAACTATACAAGATAAAATTTTTATATCAAAATAACAATATTTTGAAATTCATCAACCAAGTAAAAAATTATTCTTTATCAGATATTTGGATAGAGCAAAATCTATTAAAATAAATGTTCATAAAATAAACAAGAGTCAAATTGCTATTAAACTATCTTATCAACATTAAAATTGAATTTAATTTTGTGACTAAGCATCTTTAAAACATGTAACTCAGCTATACAGCGCTTTAAGATAACAAAACATCAGATTGCACATTTATCATAATTATATATCTTAGCTTTAAAATATAGTAACACATTTTAGATAATCAACAAATAAAAACTAAAGAATGAAGAAAAAGTTCTTTGACTTTTTGTACTAATCCTACATTTCCATCACTTGTAAATGATAGCCATTTTTTCAAAACAGCAATCTTAAATTGACTTATTATAAAGGCTCAATTAAAAAATGAAGCCAAGTTTTATTTTTTAAAATGCTGTGTTTAAATCTGACATGAATTGTAATTAAAAAAGGGATGGGCTAATTATCCCTCACCCTATGCTAATGTGCATGAATCCTCCACTCTTTCTGTGCTTGCGAAGACTATATTACACAACTATAGTAAACATAGGGATAGCTCTGTATAGTATAGTAGGGTGAGTGATAATTAGCACAAACTGAGGTATAACTAACACCTTATTTAAAAAAACTGTTAGTGTAAACAAATGTTTAAATTATGAATGTACATATAACATATTTATAAAAGTTAAAATTCGTGCTAAATAAATAATGTTATGATAAACACATATAAATTACATATTATTGATAAACACTTATTTTTTAATATATTAATTATTACTAGTTTTCAATTTAGTATTATATTTATGCATATATGATAATAGGATTCATTGATAAAAAAACTGACAAACAAAAATTAGCAACTTTTACTTCTCTTTTTATAAATAATATATTAAAGGTAATATGACAAGACCCTAAAAGTTTGGTCTACATCTGTTTAAAATTAGCATTCAGTGTTAGTAAAATGAAAAAAACAACTTATTTTTTCATCAATTAACAAAATGCTAATGATTTCGTTAAAAATCTTTGTTTTTATCAAATTTAATTTTAAAAACATATTTGAAATTACATTTGTATATCTATAACCTTTGATATCATCAATATACAAAATTTCGCTTTGCTTTCTGCATAAAAACATGATCACAAATTTATTTGGAATTTTTATCATTATTACATTTTTATAATCATTGGATAATAAATATTTGAGGATTGTCATTCAAATTTATATGGAATTAATTTCAAATAAAAGAAATATATCAATCATAGTTACAATTTTCTTAATCTCAACTCAATGTGAAATACATATTTGTCCTTGATTAAGGTTTCAAAAAATTTAAACTAATGAAATAATTGTTAGTCTAATTAAATAATGCATATGAAATGATGAGGAGAAATTTTGATGTACTCCATTTTTTATCTTAAAAATTGATACTTATGGTACGAGTTATAGAAAAATTTGTATCAAACAAAAAATTTCAAAAATTATTGTGTTAATCAGAATACACTTTTATTTATGTAGCAATATGTATTTATGTAGTTCATTTATTTAATCAATCACATAGATAAAGACACAAGGTTGAAGTTTTAATTCGTAATATTGATGCCATTAACCAGTTTTCAGTATAAGCAGATAGTAAGGATAGCATAAATTCAACAAAATCCTACGACTCTTTAATTCTTGCTTATCTACCTTAGGTCCCAGAATATCAAATCGTATTGAAGAACATGTTAAGGCGAACCATATCGGTCAGGGGTAGTTCTTTGGCATTCTGTCAGATCTCCAGTTGTGCTGGAGTACTTAATATCTATTGCGACATTAATGCATAAATCATAATGCAAAATTAATGTCCTCCTTGAATCCATTGATTTATATTTCAGTGCTTGTTCACTATCACAAATTTCTTTACATTTCCATAAATAGTGTATTTTGTATATGTAGATATAAAATATACACTAACTTGGGAAATGTAGGAATATGGAAAGATAATATTTCAAGGTAGGAGTGCAAATTTTTATACTGAAGGCAAACATTAGACCCGCCCATATGCTAATGTATCAACGCCATTTTATGAAGGCTAGTTTGTTTTGCTGAAGTACTCCACCCGACAATTCCATCGTCGACTGAAAGATAGTTCTTTACGTGTGGATGATGTCTGCATGAAATAATGGAGATCTACAAGCGAACCTTGTGTTTGCGATGTGTTCTTCCATCTTCACAGTAGCTTGAAGCGTAAGCCGTACACAAAATTGACGTGGACATAATTCTTCTATAAAGCATTTGTGGTGAGATTTCTTTGTGGATAGACTTTTACGTGAAATCCCGTAAGGGTCGAAGGGAAATGAGTTTTTGGACAAGGGTGAAGCAAAAAGCAGAATATATTCATCAATATTTCGTGATCTTTTGAAAGAGTTGATTGCATCCAAAATCTTTATCCTTTTTAACAAATGATGCAATACTCCTTTATAATGTCGTGTTGAATCTTCATATTTTGGCTCCTTTAAAGTTGATTTTTGGAAATGTACGAACGGAAATTTTCTTGTGTTGAGAAAACGGAGAAGTTTGCTAATTTGGAAAGTTGATTTCAATATGGAGAAAGAAAATTCAGTATTATCAAATTGTGAATTTAAGTTTGTGCCTTACAAGAACATCGTTCGGTATGCCAGAAGATGTGCTCATCTAGGTTTTCTCAAGGAGTCGTGCAAGTGATGTAACCAAGGCAACTTTTACCAAAAGCAAGCCACGTACTTGCGAAACAATTATATTATAATTAATAACTAATTGACTTCTGTCAGAAGCATCCATGAAATGCATCAAACCCTGATGAATGTCAATGAGATAAGGAATAGAGAAAACAAAACGAAAGCGATAAAACAAGGAAGGGACGCCCGTCCCTTCCTGGGAGCAGAAAACATAGTCTCACTCATTGGGCAAGTCTTTATAGACTTTTTGCGACGACATAAATGGACACTCATGCATAAAAATAAAATCAGAACTGGTTTATAACGAAGGATTTTTTAAGCAACTGTATCGACCGATATGACTTTTCTATAAATTTCAGAGGAACACACTTTATTGGAAGTATCTTAGGATTCCAACCTGGTAAAGAGATCATGTGCTTTTGTCATAGAACCTCCGCATTACAATGTCTGAGCATTCCATCATTGTGTCCAGTAAAAATCTTCTCGATAGAAGAACAAGTAGATTATACCCTTTCTTAGTATTAAAAGCAAGCCTTTAAACGGAAAAGCTCTGTGTCTCAGAGATGGTTCCATACCACGGTAGAAGAATAGCTCACCGCACAAGACAATTGTTTCCACAATAACAATTGGAATTGGAATTGAAATATGCTCAGAAATATTCCAAGACAAATGGAAAAATGACAGATTGGGCTAGCGGGTGAGCCACCAGCGGCAGACCGACCAGATGGACCTCGCAATAGTTTTGACCTAGTTCGGCGCAATATTTTTCGAGGCTGTGGGCACGATGTGCACTTTTGGTACCACCGCACTTCCGTGCTCGACCGAAATCCTGCTTTGCGAACCATCACGGCGGAGAATGATCAGCGCAGAGGAGGAAAGGCAGATGCTGCTGCGATCGGGCTCACTCGCTCGCTCACTCCTCGGTCGAATCAACGCAGATCGCTCGGAACTCACTCCCTCGCTCGCTCGTGCGTGCGTGGGTGTGTGGGTTTGTGCGCGAGGGAGCGAGAGCTCAGAGTCGCGTCGCGTCGAGAGCCATCGTCGGCAGCGAGACCTGGAGGTGCGCAACTTGTTTAATGCTGGAGACCGAGCGAGATCGGCCGCGAGCCGAACCCATGATCGATCGCTGTGGATGCCATCGCAGCGAACGAGGACCCACAGCACCACCAGCGCCACAAATGGCGATCGATCGCTTTTCGCTCCCTCAACAGGACGCGTTCGCAATGTGTTGGCTAATGGCCGAGGGGAGCATATTCGCATCTGCGGCAACGGAAAGGCTCGCGATCGCGAAAAGGAGGACTAGATGCCATATGCTGCTGGGAGACCAAGGACAACAACAACAAGAGGGGATCGAGGCGCGGCCCGCCAGACCGACCGCAGCGGATGAGATGGTCAGAGGAGCGGACCGATGTGTCAGAGCGGGTACACCCAGTGGGCGAGCCGAGGCAGTAGTAGTAGTAGTAGTAGTAGTAAACTCCAGGCGCATCGAGCCACCGAGATTCCTCGGGCCGAGGAGAACCTGCGCGCGCATCCGTTCTTGTAACGCGAGACGAGCAGGCGCGTGAGCTGGCACCGGAGACGAGGGAAGAGGAAAATGGATTTAGTAATGCGAGCACAGGGCGAGCGAATTCTGTGGGGTCGGTCCGCTGGCTCCACTAGCTGCAGCTGGAGGTGGAGGTGCCGCTAGAGGCAGCTAGAGGAGGAGGAGGAGGGCAGGGCAGGGGAGCCCAGCCCGGGGCCTTTGGAGGGAGGGAGGGAGACCGGGAGCTCCGTCTGCCATGGCCATGGCTTCCACGCCGACGCGCACTGGAGGGGGTGCGAGTCTGTTATGGGCGGAGCAGCGAGACGAGCAGAAGAAGGAGGAGGGGAGGAGGGAGGGAGGGAGGGGAGGGGTGGCGGACGGGGCCGCCGAGGGGAGTGGGGGAGGAGAGGAGAGGAGTGGAGAGGAGGCAAGAGAAAGCTCAGATGCTGTGGCTCGGCCTGCCTCCGATTGCCAACTCTCGGCGCTGCTGCTGCTTCTCCTCTCCTCGTCTCTCGGACTCTCGGCCTGACCGACCCCTCGCTCGCTCGCTCTTCTTCTTCTACTAGGTTAATAATGACGACGAAAAGTCTGTGAGCAGAGAGCGCTCTGTACCGCTGGCGGGTAGAGATCTCTGCTCGGGCTCGTGGCCTGTGTTCGCCTGAGTTGAGTGTGAGTGTGGGTGTGTGTGCATGAGTGAGTGAGTGAGGGAGTGAGAGAGAGCGAGGGAGAGAGAGTGTGAAGAAGGCAGGCAGAGGCAGGGAGGAGGGAGGGAGGGACGGAGGCAGGAAGGCAGGCAGGAAGGAAGGCTGCAGAGCAGGGCCGAGGCAGGCAGCGAGGGAGTGGGATTGGGATTGGGAGTGGGAGGAGACGAGGAGGAGATTGTTGAGCCCTGCTCATGCTCGGGTAGAGAGAGAGGGAGGGACGGGTCAGATATGAGAAGTGCGGGCGCGGGGAACGAATGCTTGGAGAGGATTTGGTGGCTGCTGGATCCGTGCGCGTGGAAGTCACAGAGGCGATTGAAATTGTTACATTTCTGAGCCCGGCATTCTGGAAGCCTGCTTGTCTGTTTGCGTGTTCGAGGATCCGCATTGCGAACGACGTCGCAGAGACGAGGAATTTGATATTGAGAATTTTGCCCCGTTCCGTCCTACTCTTCTCGCATCTCCGGTCTGGTGCTTGCTCCTTCTCTGGTTCTCTTCTCTCTCGCCCGGTGCATCTTCCGTGCCTGGTTCGCACTCTTTGAGCCTCCGCCCCGTCCTACATCGCCCTCCTGAAGGCCGACTTCTGCACAGGGAATGCGGACCTGTGATCTGACTTCTGCAGCTGGAAGAATAAGCTGGAGGCAAGTTTCTCACTGGAGCCGCGCTCGAGTCAAGGACAGGATTATACCCTTCGGGACCACGCCGTCTCGGCTTTGAGCACATATCCTGGAGTTGGCTGGAATGCCCGGTCGCAGGTTACATTCCGCCCTCTCGCTGGCCCGCATCCACTGCCCGCTCACTGCCGCAGTTGATGTGCACGGTTCGCCTCCAGATGCCATACTGATTAGTCGAGATTGAGTTTGGCAGACGCTGGAGGTCGTTGAGGCCGTGCTGAGTAACGTCTGTCACAGGTGTGAGGTACTTCTGTGATGTAGTCCTGGAACATCCGCTGCGGTTGAGGGTTCAGTTCCTTCAAACTACAGCACTTGCCATCCCAGCAGCGAGCTCATCATGCCAGCAGGAGCTCCCCACCTCCACACGCTCGCCAGGGCGATCGAAGTTCCTTCTTAATGTCTTGTCACCTGGTTTCTGCCGTACTGTAGATTTGGTTAGCTTCGACTGGAGTGTTTTCTGCGTATATCTGACGGCCCTCGGCTATCCCTTTGGTGCCGCTAGGCTGGACAGCAGTTGAACAAGATTGTTGGTGGAATAGGCCCGATGACGGAACACAGGAGATCCAAAAGGCGAAATTTTGGAAGGCCTTTCGGATAGCAAGCATTCGGCATAGGACTCACAATGCAGGTCCATATATCTCCGAGCATGCGTCGAATTACTATCTCCACCACGAATGGATTTTTGGACCCCATGAAGTTAAAGGGAGCTGTTCGTTATCTGTCCTACCGATGCCTGTTCTGGACAATTTTGATTCTAGTGTTTTTACTCCCATTTTTATTCATCACGACAATGATAGCCACTCTGGAAGGTGCTAACAAGTGCACTTCAATCTGTAAGTACAACTCTATACAGTTCCTCCAAAAGCTTTCTGTTGGGCAGGCAGATTGCCTTGTTCTGAACGTTTGTACTAGATCTCGAGATAATTCTGGGCTGGACGAGAAATCTTTCGACGGAGAGCTATTGTTACATTGGAGCCTACGTTGACCTACGGTACTGGGATGGATTAGCATGATCCCTGTAACTTTCACACAGCTATTTGTCTTTGCATTTGTCTCACTACTCATTTGTTTACGTCACTCCCTCTGTGGATGGGCAGATTGCTTAACAAGGAAGTTTGGACCAGGAGCTCCATGGAGATCGAATAACATTCCTGTAAGCTTAAGATATCCGGAACCATCCTATTGTTTTTTGCTTAAAGTTGTGAAGAATTTGAAGCATCATGGTTTGTAATTTTAGCCCGGAGCGAGTGGTTGTATCACAGAAAGTATTTGGAGCTCTGTAAAGTTGGGAGCGATGGGTTATTCGTGGGTGTTTTCTGCCAGATTAGTTGAGATAGGACGTGAATTGATCGAAATTGCTACTTCGTTTTGTGTGTAGCAACAATATTCACGTGAATTCGTGACCGCCCTCGAATTAGCAGCGAAAACTAAGCTACCGAAAGGAGTCGCTGTTCCTGAGACTATACATGCTCTGATTGATGAAGCCAAAGCTAAAAACTACGATACGAAGACCTTACTGGCGACGCTGAGCGCCATGGTGAGTGTGGACTGTCTTTTATTTGTGGGTCTTCACATCTGATGGTCTTCACATGGTGGGTTTAGAAAGCGGGTGGGTTTGATGAACGTTTAACGATTTCAAAACATCACTTATTACAAGGAAATCCAGCATAATCATGAACATGCCTAAGTCCCATCCTTCGATTGTTCTGCATGCTCGACCATAGTTCAAACGGAAGAGTTCTGAGCCATCAGGTGATCTATTCAGTATATTTCTTGTCATGATGTTGTCATATATATTTGAGACATCCTGTGCTTGTTGTGGAACCTTCATCAATACTCCAACGGATTCCACCTTTACAATGAGAGAATCTTTTTCTCAAAACTATGCTGTCAGTTGTGAGCCATCGAGCAGTTAACGGTCGTGTCTCTATCTGTATGTCAGAACACACTGTCCAACTGTTGTTGGTAACACCTGCAGTCCTAATTTTATTTGGTGAAAAATTTGTGTACACCTCTACAATTGCTTTGCCCAATTTCCAGTTTATTCGAGGAGTTGGATGCGTCACTGATTATGAAGCACCTATCGGAAGAATTCTAGATCATGACAGCTTCCTCTTAAACCTAAAATGTTGGATACGTCCAACATTTTAGGTCTGAAGGCAACAGGGTTGACTTCTTTTCTATTTCCTTCCGTTGAGAGGTTTCTACTTCTCTAGACTGTCCTACATTTCTAATCCCCCTTCCACCTCGTGAGAAATTTCATCATTCAGCTCTACCCCTGGAGGTTTAATCATGCAACCAGGTTGATATTCGTAGTTGTTACACACTACATTCTTAAGTTGGATAAAGATATAGCGGTAAAGAAACCACGTATTGAAGAATCCGGAAACGTTGGAGTGTAATCAGGTACAGTCTATGGCACTTGCGCTAGTAACAGACATCGGTTTGTTCACTGAAAGCTTGCATCGCACTCTACTGCCACTTTAGACTTCACAATTTACCTCTCTGATTCTCGAAAAGGAGAACTGCCGGGAGTGGTAGTTTGTGTTTTGAGGAAAAACTTCTTCATTCATAGACACGGATTGAGGGAGAAGTTAGAAGGATTCAACAATGTAGCCTATACAGTTCAAATCTGGGCATAGTCTGTCACCCTTCGGACCGCTTGTTGAATTTGGGCAATGCTAGATATGAACATTGACCTTGGATTCGGGTTTTGCAGGTGGAAAATAAAGACGAGCAGACAAGGACTGCCAAATTGCAGGAGGCACTTTATCGACATTTCGCGTCCAGTGGGATTCCCAAAGGGATGCATTGTCTTTCTTTGAAGTTGACATCGGAGTACTCCACCAATGCTCTGGCTCGTCAGGATCTTCCATCTCCTGATCTTGCTCCTGGGCTTACGGACAATTCTCTCCATCACTACGTTGTGGCAACAGACAATGTTCTAGCAGCTTCTGTTGTGGTTTCGTCAGCTATAAAAAATGCTCTTGAACCTAGGAAGATCGTCTTCCATGTCATCACCGACCAGAAGACATATGCTGCAATGCATTCTTGGTTTTCTTTGCATCCGCTTCCCCCAGCTATTGTTGAGGTGAAAGGTGTCCATCAATTCGACTGGTTGACCAAGGACAATGTTCCAGTGCTGGAGGTCTTGGAAAGCTCAGCGGATATACTACGTTACTATCACGGTGATCACAGTGCAGGAACTGATCTTTCGGATTCTCCTACCATATTAGCTGCAAAGTTGCAGGCCCGTAGTCCGAAGTATATTTCCATCATGAATCATCTGCGTATCTACCTACCTGATGTGAGTTCCTCTGGAGTTTGTTTTTTGGCTTTTATACTACGTCGTGGCAGTTTCGCGAGAGTATTGGACACAACTTGTTGGTTCCGACATCTCCACCTCTGTACATGGTTGCCAGTTCCGTGTAGACACCTAGTTTACTTCAGACCTTTTCTAACAGAGAAATTGGTTTTATGTTTTGTTAAAACCGCAGCTTTTTCCGGAGCTCAATAAGGTATTATTCCTAGACGACGATGTGGTTGTTCAGCGAGACCTCGGACCACTGTGGGATATAGACATGCAAGGAAAAGTTAATGGAGCCGTTGAGACTTGCCGGGGCGAAGATCCTTGGGTCATGTCCAAGCACTTCAGGAACTATTTCAACTTTTCGAATCCCGTCATCTCGAATACATTCAGCCCCGATCAGTGTGCTTGGGCATATGGTATGAATATGTTCGACCTTCACGAGTGGAGAAAAACAGAAATTACGAAGATATATCATCGATGGCAAAAGCTGGTATGTCACTCAGAGCCAAATTCTTACATGTTAGATGTCTAGTAATTGAGCATTAATATTATGGGGTTAGAAATGGCACATCCATCTTCCTCCTGTTGTCATGAAGATCAGAGGAGAAAGAAGCCCTGTTCCTCTCTAACCTTCAGTAAACACGAATTTGTCCAAGTGTATAGAAATGTTAAAGTTGTGTTTATCATGAAGGTCACCGGACTGACTGTGTCCACCAACTTAGAGCGAAGTGCTCTTGGCTGCCTTATATATCACCTAAACTCAGCTCCATGAGCCGTTGACTTTGTTCTTTAAAACTACAAGGTTTACAAATATTAACTAAGAAGGCAAGGAGACTAACATTTCTCCATTTTGAGATATCTGGTACGTATATGGTTCGGAAAGCTAACGAGAGAAACTCATGAATACGCTGGCCTGTCATTATCGGGAGTGTGTTGCTGCTCTGAGCTTCTGCTGGTTGTTTGAGTCGAAGATATGATTGTTTAGTCACGATTGGTTTGAGCCTTGTGCAGTCTCACGTGGCCTGAAGTTGTGCCAAGCCAGTTCAAATTTTAGCTCTAGTTTTGGTGGCAACTGGGCCCTTCTTTTTATCATTGTTCTGATCGATGTCCCGTCTGGAAATATTTCTACTCTCCTTGTGGTTAGGCTTCTCGTTCTGTCAACTTTTCATTCACTCACTTCAACGAATACGATGCCCATTCCGTCTACTCTCGTCATGTTGCTGACTGAATTCCAGGTAGTTTTTGCTGTTACCATATTTCGCAAGGCAGACCTAGAATGTATAGGAGGGTCGCGAACAGATACACTTGGACCATGAAACAAGTATATCTTGTTTCATGGTCCAAAACTACGTCGTAGGATGGTTAGGAGCCATCGTAGTTTTGGACCCATGAAACAAGTATATACGATCTGCTTCCACAGTTTTCAATGTTGACAAACCAGAGACATACAGTTACGGAAATGAGTTTAGACGAGAGTGGAGCTCATTTGAGTCAATGCTCTCCTTGAAGCGGTCTTTCATTGAAGTCAAGACCCGGAACGAGCTTAAAATAACTTCAGGGCGTAGAGGCTGCACAATCAATCTTTTACTTTGTTGGCGAGGCCGTTGATTCGTCTTAGCTGGGGAAGGTATATGCACAAGGAAAAAATAATTCATGTACTTGAATGAAGTCATGGATGTTTTAAGTAGGTTTAAGAAATAGGAACCTTTGGTTCTTATATTCGATGAGTACAGCTTACACGAGAAGCAGTTGTAAGCGAGTTAAGTGCAGATGTCCTGTTCCTGCAATGTTTTGCTCATTACTCAGGCCTAGTGGTTGGTTGTTTAGCTCTTGTTGGGGAACTTCAAACTTCGGTTGCTGTTCATATTATGTCAGTAGTGTTTCTTGACACGCAGTTGGAGGACTTAAATTTTTGAAAATGTGGTCAGTGTCTTTCAGTCTGTCTGTCAGCCCTTAGAAGTAGACTCTGTAATTATTGAAGACGCAGAGCAGATGGCTTACGAAGATGGTTCAGATCTACAGCTGGCGAAAGTTGCCAGATCCGTTATTCTAATGGATCCTTGTGCACCTCCACCCATTTGCCATTGTGTTTATTGTATTTCGTTACTTCTTTTCTTGTCTATCTTTGAGGTTGACTAATCGTTGGCTTGTTCACACACGTAGTTTTAGGAAGCCGTGAAAAACGATTAGAAAGCTTCCCATTGCCCGTAACGTAATTGATGGATTATAGCGATTTATTTGTACTCACCATAGTGTCAATTAAAGACAGTTGTTTTTGATTACTGAGTTAAATATTTAAATCATTGGTTTAGTGCGTGAAGCACATAAGAAGATATGCAATTCGGTCAATTTTCGCCGTGTTCATTTGAAGACTGTTTTCGAGCAGCTTCATGGGAGAGTATGTCAAGCGCGTTCGTCCTACTGAAAACTGCGGCTGAATGACTTTAGAAATTTGTTCCCTAATTTCGTTTTTTTATTCTTGTCGCTTCCCCCGTCGACGGTAGAGACTAACACTTTCTGTAGTGGAGTTATGCGTAGTGCTTCGTGGACCTATTCTATGTTGTTACCATTTCCTGTTTGTAGATTCGAAGTTACAGAGGTCAGTCCAAGTTGCCCTACTGTTTGAGCGTATTGAGTTGTTATTTTCTGAAGCTTGTGTTCTGTAATTTTCCAAAATAACTAATTGGAAACGCCAAGGTTCACCTGGTGTAAATATATAATCGCCCCACTGTCTTAATATGGAATAGAAATACTACAAGTTGGTTGTATCAACGTTTGACTTGATAACATCTGTAGTATGCAGTCAGCTTGAACGAAGCCGTGACAAATGTCCAAGAAATACATGGATCATTTACTTTTTGAAACTTTTACCTCTACCTGTTAAGAGCCTTCATTTCATGTATTTGCCTGTAATTCTTCTGTCAGCTAAACTCATCCTTAAGGGCATCGAAGAACGTTGATTCAGTTTTTTCACATCATCACTCCGAGATCGTTCTATGACCGGAGGAAGTTTGTGTTCTGTAAAATTACACATATGTTGTTTATGTACCAAATATACCAAATATATATAATGGATTGTATAATTTTGTATACAGTTATAATACACAGTAATACAAAGTATATTTTTGTATTTTGTATTCAGTGATAGTTGTTATTCAACACGCTCATTCTTGTAGTGATGCAAGTTTTGTATTGCAGTCATATATACATTGGGTGTGTTTCCTTGTCTCCGTTGTTCTCTTATAAAACTGTTGTGTTTCCTTTTGCAGAATCTCAGGTCTAATTTGACTCTTTGGCGGCTGGGTACCTTACCTCCGGCCCTTATTGCTTTTGATGGTTATGTGCATCCCATCTCTTCATCGTGGCACATGCTGGGTTTGGGATACCATGCGAAAAGCAATATCGAAAATATAAGAAAGTCGGGCGTCATCCACTACAACGGGCAAGCAAAGCCCTGGTTGGAAATTGGATTCCCAGAGTTGAGACCGTTTTGGGCCAAGTATGTGAACTATTCCAATGAGTTCATTAGGCATTGTAACATCCTACAACATTGATTTTCTTCCTTTTTTCTTCAATTTTTTTTTTGTTCAAAGGTACATTTGTAGCTTACAATATTTTTTTTTAATGATTTCTCCATTTCCAACCCTGGCCCACGAAGGTTGAGAAGAAGGTTTGTTATGACCAGATGGCTCACTAGCCTCCTTGTCATAGTCTTCTTCTGCTTTTTGTCATTTGGTTCGGTACTGCACTTGATGATGGGAGAGCTACAGAAGGCAGGATCTTGCTTAGGGTGTAGGGGTAAGGCATTGGCTCAAATTGAAAGCTTTCGATACTCTTGATTGAAATTAGCTGGTGATTTTAAGAAGTACATTATTTCATCCCAATCGAACTCTTAATTGGATGGATAGAAACTATTTGCAAAAGGAGAGATTTGGGTCTAGCAAGAGCATTTAATCTGAGATTAATAGGACTTTGGGATAACCGAACTCTAGTCCTTGTACACAGTACGGTGGTGACATTCATGTCTCAAATCTTTAAAATAAATCAATTTTGTTATTGTTGAGAAGCAACTCAATCGATGAAGATGTCTTCGGACCTTCTAAGTAAGCCAATGCAGTGTCGATTATCTATCCTCTGAGCTTCCAGTGTTTCATCTGGAAAACTGTATGCACTCGAAAGGCCTTACGTTTTGGATGCTATCATTGATTAAGCATTAGCACTGTAGGATGATGGGGCTTTGTCATGTTATGCCATGCCTTCCTTAAGTCTCAGTGAGAGCTGGACCTACACAGCTAATGTGTAGGTTCTCCCAACTCATGTGAGTGTGTTCGAATGCGTTACTTTAATGCATGCTTTTCATGTGGGCGAATTTTAGAATGAATGGTGATGCGAGGCTGGGAATGAAAGTGAACGAGTACTTCATATGATGGTGCAAGAGAGCAGGAAGTGGTAGTATTAGAGACACACATAGAACGAGATTAAATCTAAGCGGATTTTGACGAAGTCTCTCAAGACTAACGAAAGCAGTCGTGCTGATTATCATCAAAAGAAACTAAATTGAGAATCTGTATGATTCAATCTCAATAACTACATCATATCACGTCAGTTTCGATTTATTAGTTCCAACACGATGATTGCTGACAGTCTTGGACTGTTTGTAAGTCGCTTGATTTGGATAGTCTCTGGAGTCCTCGTCAACCATCTGCATTACGAGCATTGCAGTCATTGGCAATCGTGTGAGTGTTCGACCCTAAGCGGTTCCTATGATGCTCGGTTCTCTGGATTTATTATTTCCTGTCTGGCATGCTGTTGACCTTCATACTTAGAAATTTTTTGGCAGTATTAGACAGAAGTATGGCTACCCCCCATTGTTGGAATTCTAGTTCTTCTTGGTCGAGTGCAACCTTTGCACCTTGATACTGATTGATTATGCAACAGAGTCCTTGTAAGGAGAATTATCATTAGTTCAAATATCGACAGTCGTTAAGGTTACCGAAGACCTGTCTTGGTTCGAACTGACTCCTCTATACTGCCCACGAAGTGTTTCCAATGATATTGTTGGTACATGATATCATTGTTACCCGGTGTAATTGCACTAGCCTCTACTGTCATCAACTCCACATGTATATTTTCAGATTTGCTTTCATTTGACTTAACTCGTTTGCCATGATTTCTACTGGTTTATCGGTCTTGTCTTCATGGTTCTTTCACTGTGATATCATTTGTTGGCATTTGTTGGCACCTGTGAGATTTTTTAGCTAAACTTGAGATGCTTTGGTTCCCTTATATGCTAAGACTGTGGTGTTGGTTAATATCTGAATATTTACAATGAACAGTATTTGATATGACTCCTTGCAAGAAAGTTTAGAAAAAGCTAATTGTAAGATGCGATCTTTGATATTGACAAAGTTAATAAAAGTAGAAAGAGTAGAATTTGTAACAAGGAAACCTATTCAACAAAGATAGATACTCTTACTTTTTTTGTTACAAACTCTTCTTGGTGGGATGCCTCTCTAACCGAGGTGGGACCCGTTTCTTGTGTACTTCTCCTCAGTTCTTAGGCTCGCCCCGGAGCTACAAGGGCGAGCTTTTGTTTATAAATATTATATTTTTACATATGTGTGACAATCTTTTTTCCTGCAACATATATATTACTTCTAGAAGAAATATAAATTCAATTTTACCTTGGATCGTTTTCAATCCAAGGTAAAATCGAATTTTATATGTCACATGTAAACGCGCACGATGTAGCCCATAATGCGGATACATATGCTATAAGTCGTAATAATCAAATTACTCAATATGGGAGGAATAATGATTTACGTGCACAGATATCAATCTTTGATTGTACTTCTTACCCCTAGTAGGAGATAAGAAGGTAAGAAAGAGAAGGCAGTGTATTTTCCTGCCTAGATATCAATCTTTGATTGTACTTCTTACGCCTAGTAGGAGATAAGAAGGTAAGAAAGAGAAGGCAGTGTATTTTCCTGCCTAGAGATGAGACTATATTCTAGTAAAGTTCTATATTCCATCTGCTGAAAAGCATACAATTAATGAGATGTAATATTGTGGTTAGGGATTAATGAAAAGACAATACAAGGATGAATAGGATCTGCCCGATCAACATTTCACAATCCCTTCAAAATTGAAGAAACCAAGCGGTGTGAGACAAGAGAGAAAAAATAGAAAAATATATAAAAGATCCATCTAACTCAAGATGCATTAGGAGAAAAATATTTTTCAAAATGATTGTTGCACATATGACTCATATTATCTAGACATTGCACGCAATAAAGTTAAGAAAAAAAGTTATCAAAGATTCCAATTTTACATGATAATATGTTATTGAAAAATAGAGTTTCAGATAAATCAACTAGTTTTTAATTATTTGTTTTGTTTTGTTGACAAGCAATATAATTTTGATCGAAATATTTCACATTTTTTTGTATCTTGAAACAATAATGTATTTGTTGTATGCTTCTCATGATTTTCTCCATTGCCACATAACTTGCAATGCCTACGTTATGACTTTTGGACAAAATCATTGTGTGCGTTTTTTATATTGTGAAATTTGTATGCGTTGCTTGTAGAACATCAACCTCAAGACTTCTCCGACTTTCCACTTTGTGATGCTCAAGTGATATCTTCATTTGATTTTGTGTCTTGTATCATCTTACTCCATCAATTAACTTGAATTTTCACTTTTTGAACATGATTTAAACAAGACATGCGTTTGAAATCATCCGCAATTTTCTTCTTGTCGTTCACATACACAATTTTCATGTTAAAGCATTAGCATGGAATAGAATTTTTTGATTAATTTTTTGATTTTGATTCATAATACTGTAGTATTCAAACTTTTCATTTGAATAAATATTTTTGAATTTTCAAATAAACCAAGGATTTATGATTGATATACATTACAAGCTCTCTATCATCCAAGTAATGCTTCTAATGTTTTGTTGCTAACACAATAATTAATTTTTCTTGTTCAGTCATCTAGAATTTTTGTTTATTCGCCACCAATTTTCAAGAATGAAAAAAAACTGAATGTTATTCATACTCCCATTTTAGTCGTGGTATGCTATTCATTGTTACACGTGATGTGTTAGTAGTCAATTTGACAAAGCGATTATGATCATATCACTTGAGTTTAGATGCGTGTAGGGGAGAGAAGTAGAGAGTTCTTCAGCTCCGTGTACTAACAAGAAAAAATCAACAGATGTTGTTAAGTGAAAGATTTTTTTTTTTTTTTGACAGTCTCCTTGAGGTTTTGTTTGACAGTCCACCCCTAGGGGTCATATCAGCCAATCCCCGGTCCCTTGCCCTTCGGACCCACAAAGTATCTCGTGTTCTTTGGGCCGTTTGACCATATTGTGATTAATGATGTGACAGAACAAGAAGAAACTCCGATATAGATGAAGATAATTCTTGAGGAACAACAATTGAATTAGCAGGTTATCGTTGGTGAGACTCAAGTATTTGCACCAGACGTTAGAGATTAACCTTAATCTTCTACTAGGAAATTATCAAATAAAATTAATAAAGCTACTCCAAGATATGGATTTTGGGCTGATTCATCCATTCTTGAAGATCGTGACATTGATTTAGAGTATGTTGATATTATTGCATTGACATTGGAAGAATAACCTTTTTCCAAAAGAGAAGCGCAATCTTTTGTCAATAAGTTTGAGTAAAGTTGTAACCATCTTTAGTTAGTTAGAACTAAAGTAGAGGTTACTCTGAATATTGATGTAGATACTTTAGTGTGCACTAGTCATAGCTGCCACGTCAGCGATCCGCGCACTTGGTAGGTACAGAGTGGATGTGTTAGTTGACAGTGCCACGTCAGCAATCCGTGTGCTTGTAGCTAAGGATTGAGTGTGTTAGTTAGTGTGTTAGTTAGGTGCGCCACGTCAGCGATCCGTGTGCTTGTTAGGGTTATCCGCCACGTCATCCATCCACTATGAGAGGTATGGATGGTGGGGATTAGATCTTATCACCTTGTACTTGTTGGTGAGAGCTATATAAGGGAGAGGATAACCATTGTTGGTATCTCTCATCTTCAGAGTTTACGTTTCTATCTTCGAGTGAACTTCTCTCTAAACCCTAGTGTTACAATGGTATCAGAGCGACCTTGCTCTTTCCTTGAGTGTGGATTACCCCTCATGGAATAGCAAGTGAGTGATGATGGAGTGTAGTCTTGAGAGTGTATAGAGGCTGGCAGAGGTCATTCATCTGCATGTAGAGAGAGGTGGAAGGGGGACATTGTGTTTTTGCAGATATGGACGGGATTGACAGGAATCCAGTACCGCACTGGCCAATTCCTAACCTATTCGATATTCACCTTCGTTGCATGGAGAAACATCATTTTCGGATGTACCTTGTGGCTTGTTGGGGTGCAGATTTTATGACTAGAGTGATGGAGTCAAGAGTGCCACTGATTCTTCCAATAGTTACTTATGGAGAGACTTGGGATTGTACTATATACATTCTATACTGATTGTTTCATGGATTTGAATCGCGAACCACCTGTCCCGGTTCGATTCAGCACTTATGTAGAGATTAGAACAGTATATAGACAGAAGAGGATATGGAGAGATTTTCTTGTGAGGAATTATGGAGAGGAGTACTATAGAGCTGTGATAGAGTCACCTGCACCTTTTGTGACTCCTTTGTTGAGAGGTCACATAGTGATTATACTCACTTTGTATTAGAGGGAGTGTGAAAAAGCATGGGAACATCAATTGATATGGGTGAGGTTCTCAATGCAATCATGGCAGAGATGAAGGAGTTGAGAAAAGCGATAGTAGATGGGCATACCAAGCAGCAAGCCATGGAAGATAAAATCTTTGCATTAGAGAGTGAGAAAGTAGAGAGAGAGAGAGTTGGAGAGATGGAAGTTGAACCTCAAGTTCAAGCTTCCCAAGTTCAGCCAGAACCAACTCCTATTGATGCAGCAGAGGCAAATAGGAGACGTCTTCAAGAGATTGAAGATCAAGCAAATCTTTTGCTTCGAATGGGAAAATCCTGTAAGGTGGAAGCTTACAAAGGGAGTAGAGCAATGG